ATGACAGACTACTCTCACTCTTTGGTATTTACCCAAGCAAGTTGAACACTTACATCTACACAAACACCTGCATGGGATGTTTATACTGTACCAGATTTTATTCATAATTGCCAAAACATGGAAGCAGCCATAGTGTCCTTCTGCAGAAGAATGGATAAACTGTGGTATATTCAGACAATGGCATGTTATTTATTGCCAAAAAGAAATGAGCTATTAATCCATAAAAAGACATGGAAGAACATAAAATACACATCATTAAGGAAACCAATTTGAAAAAAGCTACATACTGTACGGTTCCGTATAGTTGACATTCTGGAAAAGACGAAACTATTGCCATGGTAAGATAATCAGTTGGTGCCAGGGGTTGGGAGGGTGAAGGATGAATAGGTGGGTGGAGCACAGACGCTTAGGGCCATGAAAATAATCTGCATGACACTATAATGATGGAGACCTGCCATTATACATTTATCCAAATGCACAGAATGTACACCACCAAGAGTGAACCCTAATGTGAACTATGCACATCGGATGATTACGAGGTGTCGATGCGGATGCACTGATCATAACGAACGTACACTGTAGTGGTGCATGTTGATAGTGGGTTGGTTGTGTACGTGTGGGGAGAGCATGCGGAAGGCTCTCTACTTTCCATTCACGTTTTCTGTGAACCTACAACTGCTCTAAAAAAGAAAGTCCATTTTAAAAAATAGAATATATCTCTCACATAAATAATTTAGAAAGATATGAAATTTGGAGGCAGCAGGTGTGGAATTCTCTGGGCATTGATAACTAAAAGTCAAGGGGTACATGATGAGATCTATGGGGCGGGGGGAGAAAAGATACAGGAACCAGAATTTTCAATCCACGGCAGAATACTTCAGAGCCGTAACTCTGAACACCTAAGCCAGTGGTTCTCAAACTTCAATGGTGCCTCATTAACAGCGCAATTCAGTGGGTTCTAACCAGCATTTAAATAAATGGAATGGAACTGAAAAGGATAAAAATATAGCATGAATTGCACATAAAAGAGAGAGATTGATTTGTGACACTTTGGTTTCTGCTTTTTATGTGGATAGCTTGAGTACTGGGTCATGATATAAAAAGGTGTTTTATAAAATAGGTCATGATCAAAATAAAGTTCAAAGCTGCCGCCCTGTGCTATACTGCCCAACTGCTCTGGCTTCAATGGATCACACTCTCTAGTGGGGTAATTCACAGATTAAATCAGTGAAAAGATTAGCAACATTATTTTAGCTGTGGAAGCATGTTTTGATGAATCAAACAGGGTTACAGCATTCACTGGTTCATTGGGGATGTGTGTGTGTGTGTTCATTCAGGTAAGGTTGTTCAATCTATACCCACTACCAGGTCTGAGGAGCATTTAAGAAGGAATGTCCAGTAGACGGAAGATATTCAGATCCAAATTCAGGATTTAGGGCTAAGGCTGAGATAAACAGATAGAGCTGAACAATGAGGAGTGAACTCATTTCAGGAGAATGGGTAAGGGGAGAAGAAAGGGAAAGCACCCTGCCTTCATTTCAGAGATGGGAAATGTATGTGTTTGGAAGACTTCTAAAACTGGTGTTCAATCAATCAATCAAATGAGTCAAATATTTACCCAGTGGTATTTTTAGCATATTATTTGCTTAGAAAAATGCTTTTTTCCTAAGAAAAAGGGACACTTCTTATTCTGGTTGTTTTATAATTTTTAGGGATATTGTGAAATATCTTATCTCCTTATGTAATAGTGCTTTTAAGTGAAGTTTTCTTTGCAAAGATGGAATTATGAAAAGATAATAGTAACCATAAAATATAGTCATTTGTGAATCTAATCAAATGTGACTCCTCAAATTCTGAACACTATGGATCCAACAATGTTTATGATCAATAGAAAAACTACATATCTTGCTCGTAAATAGGTATTCATATGTAGACAGACACACAAAAGTGAATATTGGTGCTAAAAAGATAACTAATGAACCAAATTATTATATGCATTCAGTGGTTTAAAAAATAGCAAATATGCTTCCATTTTACTAAATTAAACTTTCAAGAGGTGCATTATTAGGCCATATTTTCCATTTAGAAGCTGAAAATTAAATCGTTGGTTAAAGTTGATGTGGCAAACATCTGTTTTCAGAAGTGACTATTATTTCTGTAAGAAGCATACGTACTCTCAAACATGTTCCCATATTTTTTTAATGTTATATTTATTTAAAAATTTACCCTTAGGGAGCAAAAAAAGAACGTATACAGATTATTCTTTTTCTCATGCCTCACTCCACTACATCTAACAATATTAAATATATGGGGTGAGTCCATGCTACAAAATAGCCATCTAGTTCATCTTTTGCGAAAATTGCCAGCCTCTCCTGTATTACAGGGAAGAATGGCTGTAGTGCCCGCCTTCCGTGCCTGCTGTAGCAACCCCAGTCTTTGCTTTATCTTCTCCAACAAATGGCCCGTGTTTCCTTGAACAGAAATTACATGTGTTTGAAAGAGCAGATTTTAACTTTTATTTCCTCTAAAAAGATCGCAGCACTATGAGAATAAAATCTATTATTTTTCACTCCTACTGCACTCAGATCATTCTCATTTTAAAGCTAAGTATAGTTTTTGCTATACCATAAAGATAGCAAATAAGTACGGAATTTGCCAAAGATTTTCAAATAGATTTTCTTTCAGAGGCCAAAATGGTAGGTGCCCTCAGGCTTCGCAAGCAAATAATGAACTGAGCTAAAATATCTCAATGCCTCTCTCTAGAGTGTGGATTTGTCCCGCCGCTATGGGGAGAGGGGTGTAGGTTCACCTTGCGCTCCACCCCACCCTCCCTCGCGTGGTGTTCCCAATAGCTGGGAACCGTGTAAGGTAAGAGAAAAACAAGACACGGTGCTCGACTTGCGGGAGTGAAGACGAATTTTCACACACTGCCTTGGATTTTATACATCTCCAGACTTCAAGTCACCTAGTATGAGTGACTATAAATTTTTTTGGTTCCTATGGCCCTGAAAGGAATGAATTGCCAGCATTATCAAGCTGTAAATTGGTCTGAATATTCCAAGCTTTCAATGCAGTGTTTTTCTTTAGGATGGGGGGGGGGCGGGGAGGGGCGGGAATGGGTTACAGCGATGGCGGTAATTTTTTTCAAATAATGATCTGAGGAAAACATGGTATTATTTCATGATATCAGAGTCCTCAGAGAAGCTCCAATATTTAAGAAATGTAGTATTATTTGCAGGAAGGGCACCTGAAAGGAAGCAGATGTGGATAACGTTCCCAGTCCTCCACAGCTGATTTCTCTGGAGAAGGGAGCCGAGCAGTGCCTTAGGAACTGCTCAAAGTTCCCAGACAGCCAGCGCTGTGGGATGTGGAGAAGGCGAGGATGGCGACAGACAGGACCTAGAAAGCGGCGGCTTTCAACTGCCCCCAGAATATTCGTAGAGGTAACGGGGACTCAGTAAAGAAACACAAAGGAGACGAACACGGCGCGATCGCCGGGGTCCTAGGCTGCTCTGCGAGCCCCGCGCTCCCCCGGCCGCCGCCCACCTTCCCACCTCCAAGGGACAGATCTGGACGGGAAACCCGCATGCACCTTCTTTCCTCTTTGGTTTATGAGTGACCCAGAAGGCTCCTAGCTCACAATTGAACAGTTTCAGGACGAGGCTGCCGGGGAGGCGCTGGCGACCGAGGAAGGGGAAGGACAAAGAGGAAGAGGAGGCCGGGGAAGGAGAAGGGAGCGGCGGAGGGGCGGGGAGGGGAGGGGCGAGGGAGGAGGGAGGGGGCGCCGGGCTGGGGGCGGGCGTGCTGGAGCCTGCGGGACCCGGACCTGCTCCGGAGCCAGCCCTGGGAGTGGCCAGCTCGAACCCGCGAGCCCCGCAGACCGTTACTCCGGCCCCCGCCCGGGGCGGGGCTTTCGGGGGCGCGGCGCAGCCCAACCCGCACCGCCGCGTCCCCAAACACCACCAAGGAGGGAAAACAGACTGAGAAAAAGGACAAAACAGAAAAATGCAAACGGGGGAGGGAGCTCACCGCCTCTCGAGCTTTAAATTGATTTCTTTGCCTTACAAAAAGGGAGAAAGGGAAAAGGAGAGCAGAGCCCACGTGCGGGGAAGGTTGTTGTCTTCAAGCGCCACCTTCCGTCGGCCTGGGCCGCCGCGGGCCTCTCGGGCTGGCTCCGGGCCGGGGCGCTGGGGAGCGGCCGAGCCCCGCGGGGGGCGCGCCGGGGAGCAGATGCTCCCACCCCGGGGCGGGCGGGGCGCAGCGGACCCGGAGCCGGGCCGAGGCCGCCGTCTCAGGCTTGGCGCGTGCCCGAGTGTGTGCACGCGGGTAGTGAGCGCCCCCGGTCCGCGGTCGCCGTCGGGCCTCCCGGGGACCGGGCACAAAGGCGCGCCGGGCCTCTCCCGGGACCCGCTCCTGGGTCCGCGCCGGCGCCGGGACCAGCCGGGTTCGCCCCCGACCACCGGCTCCGCGTGGTGCAGCGCGCCGCTCCCGAGCATCCCGGGGAGAGGCGCATCTGTGCACACACGCGGATTTTTTAAAAATAACATATTTCTAGACATGCCTCCTCTCCCCCCACCCCCATCTTCGCCCAGCAGCCCGGAGGGCGGGGTGGAGGGCGGGGCCTCCGAGTTAATAACGGGAGGTGGGAGGAGCCGGCCCGCAGCCATTGGCTGGTCGGGGGAGTGATGTCACCCATATGACACCCTGATAACTAGTTGGGAGAGAGACCTCAACTTTTTGCAGAAGGAGCGCGCGCGCCTGGGAGAGCTCGGGGTCCGGCGCTTGCTGTGTGGGAGCCACGAGCCGGAGAGAGGGGTCCCGGGCTGCCTCGACCGCCGTAGCCACCGCCTCTCCCCTTGCGACCGCAGCTCCCAGCGCGCCGGCGGCCGTCGCCGCCGAAGCCACCGCAACCGCTGTGTGCAGCCTGGAAGGGGGGGCGGGGGGGAGGGGGGGAGCTGCGGAAGCGGGGTGCCGAGGACTTTGCAACTTGCCCAGGAAGGTGGAGGGGTGGGAGGGGGAGGGGGACCTCCGCACGAGACCCAGCGGCCCGGGTTGGAGCGTCCAGCCCCGCAGCGGATCATGGTGCAGCAGGCGGAGAGCTTGGAAGCGGAGAGCAACCTGCCCCGGGAGGCGCTGGACACGGAGGAGGGCGAATTCATGGCTTGCAGCCCGGTGGCCCTGGACGAGAGCGACCCAGACTGGTGCAAGACGGCGTCGGGCCACATCAAGCGGCCGATGAACGCGTTCATGGTGTGGTCCAAGATCGAGCGCAGGAAGATCATGGAGCAGTCCCCGGACATGCACAACGCCGAGATCTCCAAGAGGCTGGGCAAGCGCTGGAAAATGCTGAAGGACAGCGAGAAGATCCCGTTCATCCGGGAGGCGGAGCGGCTGCGGCTCAAGCACATGGCCGACTACCCCGACTACAAGTACCGGCCCCGGAAAAAGCCCAAAATGGACCCCTCGGCCAAGCCCAGCGCCAGCCAGAGCCCCGAGAAGAGCGCGGCCGGCAGCGGCGGCGGCGGCGGCGGCGGGAGCGCGGGCGGCGGCGCGGGCGGTGCCAAGACCTCCAAGGGCTCCAGCAAGAAATGCGGCAAGCTCAAGGCCCCCGCGGCCGCCGCCGGCGCCAAGGCGGGCGCGGGCAAGGCGGCCCAGGCCGGGGACTTCGGGGGCGCGGGCGACGACTACGTGCTGGGCAGCCTGCGCGTGAGCGGCGCGGGCGGCGGCGGCGGCGGCGCGGGCAAGACGGTCAAGTGCGTGTTCCTGGACGAGGACGACGACGACGACGACGACGACGACGAGCTGCAGCTGCAGATCAAGCAGGAGCCGGACGAGGAGGACGAGGAGCCGCCGCACCCGCAGCTCCTGCAGCCGCCGGGCCAGCAGCCGCCGCAGCTGCTGAGACGCTACAACGTCGCCAAAGTGCCGGCCAGCCCCACGCTGAGCAGCGCGGCCGAGTCCCCCGAGGGCGCGAGCCTGTACGACGAGGTGCGGGCCGGCGCCACCTCGGGCGGCGGGGGCGGCAGCCGCCTCTACTACAGCTTCAAGAACATCACCAAGCAGCACCCGCCGCCTCTCGCGCAGCCCGCGCTCTCGCCCGCGTCCTCGCGCTCCGTCTCCACCTCCTCGTCCAGCAGCAGCAGCGGCGGCAGCAGCAGCGGCAGCGGCGGCGAGGACGCCGACGACCTGATGTTCGACCTGAGCTTGAATTTCTCCCAAAGCGCGCACAGCGCCAGCGAGCAGCAGCTGGGGGGCGGCGCGGCGGCCGGGAACCTGTCCCTGTCGCTGGTGGATAAGGATTTGGATTCGTTCAGCGAGGGCAGCCTGGGCTCCCACTTCGAGTTCCCCGACTACTGCACGCCGGAGCTCAGCGAGATGATCGCCGGGGACTGGCTGGAGGCGAACTTCTCCGACCTGGTGTTCACGTATTGAAAGCGGCGCCCTCGGCTCGCTCTTTCTCTCGGCGGCGGGTGCAGAGCTGGGTTCCTCGGGAGGAAGTTCTAGTGGTGGTGATGATGATGATGATGATGGTGGTGGTGGTGGTGTTGATGGTGGCGGTGGTAGGGTGGAGGGGAGAGAAGAAGACGCTGATGATATTGATAAGATGTCGTGACACGAAGAAATTGGAAAACATGATGAAAATTTTGGTGGAGTTAAAGTGAAATGAGTAGTTTTTAAACATTTTTCCTGTCCTTTTTTTGTCCCCCCTCCCTTCCTTTATCGTGTCTCAAGGTAGTTGCATACCTAGTCTGGAGTTGTGATTTTTTTCCCAAAAATGTGTTTTTGTAATTACTATTTCTTTTTCCTGAAATTCGTGATTGCAACAAAGGCGGAGGGGGCGGGGCGGGGGAGGGGAGGCAGGACCCGCTCCGGAAGGCGCTGTTTGAAGCTTGTCGGTCTTTGAAGTCTGGAAGACGTCTGCAGAGGACCCTTTTGGCAGCACAACTGTTACTCTAGGGAGTTGGTGGAGTTTTTTTTTTTTTTTTTTTTTTTTTTTTT